GTTAAGACAAATTCTTCTAAATGCAATTCAAATAGGACTACACTTATAAAAGAGAGATGGCCGTACCTTTAATAAGAGTGCCTAAACATGTCCACAAGCCAACCATGAAATGACCTACACTCATGGAATGACCTACACTCATGGAATGACCTACACTCATGGAATGATCTTGAAGATTCTGCCTGGATTACTGCTTCTTTGCCTTCTAAATCTATAAATGTTCAAGTTACTTTAAAAGATGGCTTCACTGCCCAAACACTAATGGAGGAGGAAGAAACTTTTAGGATAAAAATAAACGAAAAAAGAAGCCATGCTATTTTCATCTTGTCGAATTAGCTGTGGTACCAGTTCACACTTCACAAAACAGTGGGTGAGGGAGCTAGAAATGCTCAAAAATAACCCTTTGTCAAATATAATGTTCCACTTCACATGGCTAGGCAGAGGGACAAAAATAGCACAGGTTTGAAAGCTCAGGTGTCATGGCAATTTAGAAATAGCGGCCAATATGTACAGTTGGGCATATCAACAATATTATTGATTTCAGGAGGGCAGGAGGAAGGCAATCCCAAAGACCTTTGGACCATCCTGAAGGAAGACCCAGTGAGCTCTTACCCACTGAATTCTAAAACCTAAAAAATCATCAACCAACCAGGTGCTTTCAGTAAAAGATGTGGAGAAGAATGGGAGATAATTACCTTAGTCACGTACTCCCCAAAGCCTAAGTGTGCCCATTCATTGTCTTAGCTTTCTCACAAGCAGTATACACTAAGGATAGGCATGTGGCTAAATGTCAAATGGGAAATAAAAGCTAAAGGGGAATTAACTTTTCAAATTTTCTACTTTTAACTCCAGGGAGGGGAGACTGTTTGCCAAGCCCTCTTTACTTTTGATAAATAATGCTTGAGATAAACAGAAATGGGTTTACAAGCTTCTAAGAATGTAAGGAAACTATAATAGGATAATAAGCTCCAAATAAGCATGAGACAAATTCAGCTTAAAATATTCAGGTCCTTGAAAGCCAAGCTTCCATCAGAAATCATCTCTTGCGACCTGAAAGGGGGGTCAAGTTACTTAGTGGTTTACAATGCAACACTTTCATTTTCATTGCTTCAAGACTGACTCGTTAGAAAGAGCTTCAGCTCCTAATTGAGTCCTCAAGTACAGTCATTTCCCTTGACTCCCTTTCCCCTAGTACCCAGAGACCTAAGTGTGGTCCTAGTCTCAGGCCCCAAGCAAGAAGGATGAAGCAGATCCCAAGGGAAACCCCACTAATCACTTTGGGGAGTGAGTCAGGAGTCCAGGCAAAGCATCCTTTCAACATCGGGTCCCTGCCTTACTCTTAATAGAGAGGGAACTTTTGTGTCTTTGCAACATGTAAGGGAAATGGAGGCACAATCTTCTCCACACGGATTTTTCCCACTGGTGATAAACTGAGGTGGGAGGCAACACTAGGAATGCTGTGTCCCTCCTGGCCACCACTCTTCTCAAAGACCGTCTCTGGCAAACGTACACCGGGGAGTGTGGAGTCCACAAAGTCCATCAAATGTGCCCAGCATACACCCTGGGGGCTTCCGCTAAGAACTGAGATGTGCAGGGGTCAGAGATTCTCTAAATTATAATCTGAGAGAGCTCCAATCTGTGCCTAGCATTGGTAGAGTATCAAAGCTAAAGACCTAGGGGTCCGACACGGAAGAACAGAAGCTGAAGTTTGAAGGACACTCGTTTGGGGTATAGTTTCCACAGGGAAAGTTGTGGAGACGAGGGCTGGGGCCATGAACGGAGCTCTGGGAACAGAAGGTTCTCTATCACATGTGCTTCCTCTCGGACCAGACACTCTCACCAAGCCTGTTCTCTGACTTCCATCTCCTTTCTTCTCTAGTCCTCCTTTATTTCAGTTCTTCAGACCTACTTAATTGTTCTCATGAAAAGTGGAGTTGCCTGAAACAGTGTGATCTGAGGAGCCACAGACACAACTGTGCGTTTTTAACAATATACAAATATCCCATGCCCCACATGTAAAATCCTAAATTAAACACATAAAATTTAGTAGAACTTCAAAACTTGTTGAAATAGTCTAATATGAAGAGTTTATACCCTTTCCCCAGAGATGCTAGCCTACAGAGTTTATCTTCAAAATAAAAAAGTTTATGTATCAAGATGTTCATCACAGTGTCATGATTATTATCAATAATATACTCACAATGAGGAATGATTAGGAAATTCTAGAATGTCTACCTCATGGAAAGTTATACAGGCATTTAAATGTTTCGTACGCACTTATAATTTGGTGAAAACTACAGTTAGATAACTAAAAATAAAAAGAAATCAGTAATAATTAATATAGTATGATTAAAACCATACATGAATAACACCATCATTGGCTGTTTTACTTGGTGAGAGTATGTATGCTTTTTATATTTTTATACTTTCCAATTTGTACATATTGTACAATGGTTACAAATTTAAAGGGTAAATCTCTTTAGAGGGGAAATAACTTATTTTCATAGAATGCTTTTTCTGCATTTAGTTGATAATAATTCTTTTAATGTCAAAAAAGATTCCATTTTCTTCCAGGGTATTGAGGCAAAGGAAATGGTGAAAATGCACAAGAGAAACTTGCTCTGATTAAACATATCTCTACTAGTTCTCCATGCTTGCCACATCAGAAACAGATCTCATGCCTGGTACTCAAAGTTCTTCATAGCCCAGAGCCCAGAACATCAGCTGACCCCATTTCTCTGCCTATGGAAATCAGCCCAAGTCTCAGAGAGTCACTGAAGTCACTTCTATGGATGAAGACATTCCCAATCTTCTGACCACCCAGTTTCCAATGGCTCCCCATTCTCTTCAAGTATTGCTATATCCCCAAAAGTTACATCGCCTTCTGGTATTGAGCCCATCCTATGTCATTCTGGTTATTTCTGGTAAGTAAATACCTCTCAGCTAGACTTGGAGTTCCTTGAAATCAGAAATTTAGATGTTTTCCAGTAGTTATTGGTCTAATACAGAGGCAGAAGGAAGTAGAGTTCTATAGCCAGGCTGCTATTATATATCCATGCCCTCAATGATACTATCTAAATGACACACGGTGTTTTAAAATGCTGCCCGTGACATCAGTACTGGGACATGCACTTTCCATTTTCTGCTTTTAGAGCAGTAATGGTCTGTTTCTGCTTATTCATTCATATCGATTCTGAGTTTCCTCTTGGGATCAAACAGATTGGATTGCAATCTGCCTCACCAAGATTTAGAATATAAATAACAAATAAAATAACCTTCTACAAGTCAACTTAAGACCACACACAGGACCTTGCTTCTCCTGAAGATTCATCTGAACAATATATATAAATCTGTGTCTCTGTGTTGTGTCCTCACTTAGGCAGGGGGCTTTAATCTATCAATACCCCCATTAACAACTACAAAAAGAATTCTCCAAAGCAAATGGTCAAGTGCTTTAGAAGCGGTGAAGCTAAATGGCTATGCGCTCATATGCCATCAAACATTCTGCCAGGATTTAGAAATAAACACCATGTACATTAGCAACCTGACACCCGAGACATAAAAAAGAGTTGCAAATCACCAATGAAGGCAAGTCAAATGACCCACCAGAGGACAAAAGAAGACCTAGTGTCCATTAGTTTTGCAGAAGGAGCATACAAGGTCAATATGACTGTTGATTCTGAAGGTCAGGGCATCAATTAAAAAATCCATTTCCTACTGTTCACATCTCCATCTTACTACAGCACATACATTTTTTTTAAATAAGTGAAGCAATACTCAAGAGTAAGTGCTTATTTGTATTCTACCATTTCCTGGATGATCTTGAACCTTCTCTGTATTTTAGCTCCTTAACCAATAAAATATCGCCTGCCATGCCAAGCCACGAAGTTGAGTCTGGGTTTACCTGTCACCCTGCCGTGGGTGACTCAGTCTCACGTCACCTACACTAGACAACTCTTCTTCCTTTGAATGCTACCCAAAGATTAAATGATGCTTTTCAGATTTCTTACTGTGATGCTAATTGATTCTCTAAGACTTGAGCACCCAGCATCTATCACCACCAAAAACCGTGTTGGGCATCCCTGGTTAGGACAGAGCTCCTCCATGAACTGTTGTCCAAATACACCTTTACACTCTATTCTAGGAAATAGATGTTTTCTCAGACGATCACTCCATTGTGTGTAGGGCAATGTGCAAAAAGTTACAGGTTGCTGTTGCTAGTGTTTGCTATGACTCCTAAGAAAATCACTATTATACCTCACACCTCACAGTGCATGCTTGAACCCAATACTGATTGGTAGGGTAGATGGCCGTGGATTTTGGAATGACTGAGACCTGGATTCAAATTTCCATTCTGTGACCTTGAGATCGTAATTTAAGATCTGTATTCCTCACTTTCCACAATTGGCTCTGAGTTGGTGTGATGGTTTAACTCAAACACACACACACACACACACACACACACACACACACACACCTAAAATATGAAGATATTCATAACTTCTTTACATGTTTTTCTTTTTATGTGAATTAGCCAAACCCGTGCTGAATGCAAGACAAATTCTACAGGAAAATTTGACAGTTTGGGGGGGATGTTTTGGTATGGATACAGAGGTTGTACGGTGGAATGAAAAGGAGATGTTTGGAAAAGACATCTCACTGACACACTTTCAAGAAAGCACAACATGCTTTGCTCAAGAAGGTTGACACTGGGTGTGGAGACAGAACACCGTGACAAATCAAGCCAGTGGGGACTAGGAGCATTGGCCCCTTCACCCTGCCAGAGCGGGTCTAAAAACTAAGGTGGGAGCCCACAATGACCCGGTCCAGTCCCCTCCCCCTTCTGCCCGAATCTCTGGGCGCCAATGGTGCTGAATCATGAGACTGGCAGCAGCCGCCCTCCTCACAGCGTCCACCCGGGCATGTCTCCAGGACAGGGACTGGAAAGAACGGGCGCCCCACCTGAGTGTGGAGGGGCGGGGGCAAGGGCAGGTACTCACAGCTACAGCACTTGGTCAGGTGGCTCCAGTGGCTGGTCCCTTGGTGGCCCACACTCCCCGCCCGCGGCTGGTGGCTTCCCGTCGGCCACGTGCGGGTGGCCCTGGGATCCCCTCAGCTCGCCCACCGCCCGGGGCAGCCACGGTTCAGAGCTCAGAAGCTCGACCCGACCAGAAGCAGCTGGAGCAGCTGTCGTGCGCAAGGGGTGGCGGCTACCAACGGGCCAGACCATTCGCCCGCTGCGCCCAGGGGTGCGCGTCATGCAAGGCGGCACTAGCACCAGGACCCCGCGAGGGCCGGCGATGGGCGGGAGGGGCCGGGGAGGAAGGAGGGACCCCTGCCCACTGAATTTCCGGAAAGCTTGGTACCATCCAGACCAGCGGCTTCTCCTCCAGGTATGCCAAAGGATAAGCTGGGCTTTTCGGGGCACCCCTCACCCCGCCTTATCCTTGGTCCCGCTCAGGGAGCTTTCAGAACGCTGCTAACAGAGGACCTAGCAACGCAAGCTGCACGGTGGCATCACCTCCTAAGGGGATGCAAAGGACTCTGCCCTGACACCTATCTGGGCCACCTCTTTCTTCACCTTGCAGTCTGGTCCATCAGGTCCCCGTCCACGTGTCAGCTTATCACAAACAGACGGGTACCTTAGATCTCGGGAAAATGCTCCTCTGGTCTTTTATCTGAGCATCCATGCATAGTTAAGATTAAGAGGGTACCAAAAGTCAACTTGAAAGTTAGTAAGATCGAGTGAGCGCCCTCCCTGCAGGTGGTTGTTTGTCTGCAGAGATTAGGGAGAGTAGCACACTAACAAGCAAGGTGAGAAATGTAGATTGAAGTATACAGCCTTTGCACAGACCAATGTAAGATTCCAGAAGAAACTCAAGAACAGTTGTTGCAGTTTCTTGTTCATGATTTTAAAGGTTACTGCCTTAGTAACTGGGAAATAATCGTGACCTCACATGAAATAAACATCACGGGACGGAGAAGTTCATAACCCTGAAATTTCCTTGACCTTCATGGTTCCTGCCCATGTCCCAGCCAGACTCACACATGTTGCCTGAAGACAACGGTTAAGACCAAACAACTGTATAGGTCTCCATCTAAAAGGAAATTGGCACTTACCTGTAAAGTGTGACTATGGTGGGGTGCTCAATGTACCCCAAATAAAATGAAATTTCACAACTTAAAGTTGTTAGTCCTGGATTAAAGTGCTGTGCTCTTGAATAAGCCAACATCAATTGAGCATTTACAATGAACATTACAATGAAGGTGTTTTCAATTCTAGCCTTCACTTCCTGCCCTACACCACCTATTGAGATCAGTGGAAGGGCTCCTGGACATTAAATGGGGCAGGCTGGACTCAAGTCCACTGGGCTGGCCTAATGTTTAGTTTCCATCATGAGTGGCAGAGCAGACATTTACATCTGGACTCTGAGGAAAGATAAGCCTTATTATCCTAGTTATTACAGGGGCACCAATGCCACTTTGACCTTTGTGAAAACTGGGTTTCATGGTGGGGAAGGGATTTTTGGGTATCTAAGATGGATATCACCCTGAGGTAGAAAAGGGGACCAGAAAGGAAAGATGGGCTCTTCCCAGAAGTAGCTAGGGCATCAGTATCAGAAGCTCAACCCAGCATTCTGTGAAGACACCATTCTCAAGACCTGCTAGTTGGCCAGACTTACACTGCCATTTACGGTATGCCTATATCTGACCCCACACTTAAACTTTAGGTCACCGCTCTTCCAATCTCAAGTGTAAATAAGAGTTTCTAAATAAAACTACTATAGCAGTCTCTAATATGCCTTACCATAGTTTAAAGAAAAATAAAAATAAAAGCAAGGTCACTACCAACTTGGAAGCTCAAGATAGCATTTACAGGAGTCAGGAACAGAAGTCACTGGCTTCCCTGTGGTGTGCTGTCGTGACAGGGTAAACTGATGTTAATGTTCACCAGCACATCAGGTGTCCCCAGAGCCATGTTGCTGGGAACCCAGATCATCAGGTCTCTAGAGAAGCCAACAGCTTCCACGCAGGGCGCATAGCCTCAGCCTCATACGCACAGCTCCCTCCATGCACAAGTGTCTCCCTTTTAAAGGTGGCATCAATGCGGATATACAAGAATTAAAGGGATCACTAATGGTAGAAATAGAGAAATGTAGACAAAAGGATGTAGCCTATGATTAGGGACTTGATGGCCTGGAGTCATCTGTGGCCACCTATTTGTAAGTTGATGTTCTTAGCACATATGTTTCTCAAAAAAGAAAGGAAAGTTTGTAGGATGATGACCTTGGAAACTTGTCAAAGTGAATAGGCAGAATGTCACAGAGCCTGAGCCCTCTGCTGTCTTTCAGTGTCTTGAACATTTTCAAGCCCATGCAGAACATAGTAGGGCCATAAAGGAAGAAATCATTTCCCAAAATGACTCTGTGAGGTTCTGGATCTATGAACAGATCCAGATCTGTTCTCTGGGCCTTGTGACAAAGGACAGCACACAGATGGGGAGAGAAAAGCTTTTCTGTGGCTACTGAAGCCTGGCTTCAGAGGAGAGTTATTACCCACAATGCCTTTCAAACTTTACTTGCATGCTGGTTATGAAGGCAAATTCATTCATATTCACAAACAAGCATGAACTGGGAGTATTAAAAAATATCGCCTTGAAATGATAACAAGAAAGATGAAAGAAAGCACTTTATGCCTTTGGCAGAATAAAATTTTAGTGAACTGCACAGTCTTGAAGGTTGGTCAGAGTTTTTGTATTTATGTCAGCTCAGGCAGGGAATGACATTCATGTGATCCCAAACACGCTTGCTGAGGATGTTAACTGTGTAACTTCTCTTAATTTGCCTTTAGCTAGCACTTACTAAATGATTGGTGTACCTGGGATAAATATTACCACCTCTTCCACCAGATAGGTGAAGAAACCACAAAACTAAGAAGGAGCAAAGCTGGTTTCAAACCTGAGTCACTGCATGGCATTGCCCTCCACACACCATTGAGGAACACTGCCACATGGAAACAATTCTGCCTGGAGCAGGAAATCTGTTTTATACTTCCCGGGTTTACTTTTGGTTTCTTGACCCAGTCTTGTGAACACCAACAGCCTACCAAGAGCTGGGGATCCATGTTTGCACCAATATGCCAAAGCTATACTTAGTTTTACATCACTGTTAATTTCTCAAAGAACATGAGTCACTTCTCACATGTGAGGTTTAGATGACAGTTCTCTCAAGGGAAACACTGTGTTTCTCTTCTCAGAATCCAAAAATGAGTGACTGCTGAAGCCAACATCTAGCTAGTGATTCCTAAAAAGTTGCTGCAATTTGTTTCAAGAACTCAGGTCAAAATCTGAAATCTGTTTTATAATGCTCCACAGGCGATTCTAGTACACAAAGCCCTTGACCAGGAACAATGGAGAGCAGAACAAGAACAATGGAGAGTCAGTCTCTCCCCCTCTCCGTTCCCCCTCCCCCCTCCCCCATCTGGCTCCCCCTCCCTCCTCCTCCCTCCTCTCCCTCCCCTACCTCTCTCCCTCCCTGTCTCTCTCCCCCTTCTCTCTCTCCCCTATATCTCTCCTCTTCCCTCCCCCCCTCTCTCTCTCCTCTCCCTCAGTGCCTCTCTACAGTCTTCTGAACTTTTAATTCTCTAACCTTCACCATTTACTGAGCAATGAACAAGAAACAATTATTTTAAACCTAGTCTATATAAAATCCCCTAGTCATTGTATCCAAATGTACCTCTTATGCTCAGAATGGCTCTCAGTGTTCTTTTCAATGTTTTCATTGCACTTACTTACGTTGAAGGGACCAGCTTCCCTTTTGGCAGCCATAACGGCCGAACACATGCTTCTATGACCTTGTCCTAGACACTAGAAAGTCAGATGCCTGCCTCGTGACAAGGAACCAATCAGAAGTTAGCTGGTGGCGCTATGCTTTACCATCCTGGGTGTGCTTTACGGACAAGCGCACAGCAATGACGCACAAAGCATAGCAACCATCCTGGGAGGGCCTATGGGCCATAACAACCAGTTGACCAATCAACACAGGGCAAGCCCTCCAAGCTGGAGGCACACCAATCGTGAGCCTGTGCGTACCCCTAGACACTCCCCTTACGCTGCCCTACAAGATCTGTACGCAGCGGGTTGGAGCTGTCTTTTCTAGCCACCCACCATGGCGGATGGGTGAAAGACCCGAGCTAACATGTGGTTAGCTCGTTAAATTACAATAAAGCCTCGTGCAGTTTGCAGCAAGCTCTCGAATCCGCCTGGTGATTGGGGTGACTGAGAATGTGGCCTGGGACCCCGGATACCTGAGTTTTCCGGGGGTCTAACAACGTGTGCATGTCACAGCACCCATATGGAGTTCAGAGAACAACTTAAAAGAGTGGTCCTCTCCTTGCAGCATGCCCTAGATATCAAACTCAGGTCAGCAGGCTTTGTAGCAATTCATTGAGCCCTCTCACCAACCCTATTATTCAGTGCTTTATGTAAAAGGGAAATGATGTTTATAACTGCATTATATTTGTGTACAGTTTGGGGGGAATTGACACGTTTATAATAATGTCCCTTCTCATAAAATGATGGATTTTTATAGATTTCATACACTATGTCCTATAACTTTCTTACCAAATTCACCTAATAATGCTACATACAGCATCTATTTTCTGAATCAATATTCTTCCCATCTCACGAAGTGCTAATCCCTGCCTTGGCAGGGGCCACTATTCTCTGCAGCTGATCTTGTTTTTAGCCAATGCAACAAATCGTCTTGCCTGACTGTAGAAACCTCAAGAGAACTTTCAAAGGAGGTATGCCGGGCGTAGGTGGCGCACACATTAATTAAGCACTCGGGAGGCAGAGGCAGGCAGATCTCTGTGAGTCCGAGGCCAGCCTGGTCTCCAGATCGAGTGCCAGGATAGGCTCCAAAGCTACACAGAGAAACCCTGTCTCAAAACAAAAAGAAAGAAAGAAAGGAAGGAAGGAAGGAAGGAAGGAAGGAAGGAAGGAAGGAAGGAAGGAAGAGAGAAAGAAAGAAAGAAAGAAAGAAAGAAAGAAAGAAAGAAAGAAAGAGAAAGAAAGAAAGAAAGAAAGAAAGAAAGAAAGAAAGGAGGCATGTAGTCAGAGTGAGTGACTTTATCTATGTTCTGCGCCCCTTTGTCTCACTTGCAGCTGGAAATGCCAGTGTTGTGA